TTGAAAATATGTCTTTGAATTATATATTTTTAGGACAAATGATTATAATTGTCATATTGTTGAGAAAAAATATTTTCTCAACACTGCTTTGGGGCACCAGATTAATTGTATAAAAATTATTGGCATATGCTTTTGTAGTCTGTGTAACTATGTAAGTGCACCATTTATGATTTATGTAGTGGAAAAAATATTTAAAAATAAATATTCTAATTGAATAATTTGTTTCATTTTTTTCCCCTCAGATTCTATCTTACAGTATTTAAGATTATTTTTGTTTGACACGGTTAACTTTTTGTTTATTATGTTATATATTTTCTGTATCTTAGTACTTTATCACGCACAGAAAAAGCATCTTGCACTAATGTAAGACAGTGCAAACCCATTATATAATATTTGCATACATGCAAACACAGTTCCCAAAAAATAACTTTTAAAAATTGATATAGTTTATTATTTTTATAAAGGCCTCAGGTTTCTCATAAAACTTAAAACACGTATTTTATTAATGAATTTAAATGTGATTTCACAGAAGAAAAATATTATCAGAGATGTAAAACTTAACTAGGTGTAACTCACACCAGAATAAATGTCTGTTACAGGAATAGTAATATGATTATCACTTTTTTGGCAAAAATAATTAAGTTTCAAAATTTACAGGATAGTATATGTTGAATAAATATTTAATTTGAACATGAACATAAGAGAAAAAAGTAAGTATTAAATTAGAAGCAATAAAGGATTAACTTAAAAAAGTATAATTAGTTAAATGTGAATAGAATATGTTACTGCATATGTTTTAAACAATTAAAATAAATGAATAGCTTATAAGTGATATGAATTACATTTAATCCATTAGATTGTTACAGAACAAAACTGGAAAATTAATGTTACATTTTTTTGAATTAATCTTTATATAATAAAAGCATGTAAAATGATTACAAAAATCACTGTTTATGTAATATACAGTAATAAAGTCTGTGTGACATTTACATGATGTACTAAGAATTCATCATAATACAAACGCATTTCTGTTTGTGATTTACAGTAAAAGACCAAATATCCAGCATTCAACTAAGCATTTAAAAATATTTTCTGCATTAATAAGAGACTTGTGAAGCACATTTAGAACTACTACTCGGAATTCTACTTTTAAAATTTGAATACAATTACACAGCTCTTTTTTGGAAGATACTGTTACCCTTGCTTACACACTTTGTTTGAACTCATTGGACACTTCTCAGATGTCCTTTCCATCAAATCATTTTTGACCAACAAAGACCATCCCTAGATAGTGATTTACCACCAATAAGGGGTAAGTGTGATGTTGCCAAATAATCATAATATCTTCACCATGCTTTTATGTAAATCTGATTATCAATGAACTGGTTCAGGTTTAAAAAAAAAATCTGAATGCCTTCAGATTTTATATTATGTCCAAAGGGATGCTTTTTGTAATGTTTTGTGCATTACCTTTATTTATTAAATGCCATGCTTTTTGCACTTAAACAACAAAATCCAATTCAACAACAATATCACAAAGTAATTTTAAAATGAGTATATCTTTAGATTTTCCTATACACAGTCTCAGGAGATAAAAATGTTTTTTACCCTGTACAGTGTTGCCATTGATCGCTTTGAAAACATTGAGTTTGTTAATCGAAAATTCATTGAAGTATTACAAAATACGAAATTGATAATGAAACAAATTCCAAATTACGGCTTTCAGATGCCCATATTTCACAGGAGGATTACATTATTCAAAATTGGATCTACAGATTGGGCTCTACGTGCCGTTGCTTTATCACAATGCAAGAAACATACATACATTCATGCAGATTCTTCATTATTTAATGTCTTTAGATAACACATGGTGATAATATTTGGTGCCAACAATTTGAAAAGTGAACTGACATTTATAGTGAATCAACGCAAAATACCAGAACGAAATTAATAGCCCTTCTGGGCTAAAAGAAAGATATGACTTATGCCTTTCTCTTGACATTTTGAAAAAATTATTAAAATTTGCGACTTATATTTTATGGAATAGCATACAGTGAAGCATTCTAAAGTTCTATTGGCATAAAAAAAAAGGTTGCATTTATGGCATAATATGCAACTTTATTTGGAACTTGATAAAAAATGGTGATGCAATGTGAATTAAAATTTTTTATATGCAGGATACATAACTTGTATCTGTTGATTATTGAATTAAAGAGCAGTTTGTTCCTTCAAACTTTTACCAGTATGGTTTGGAAGGATTTCTACTATCTTTTATAGTTGATGGGGCCACCCAACTGGTATAGTGGTTAGCATCACTTACTGCCGTGCAAAAGGGCCGAGGTTCGAATCCTGCAGAAGGCATGGATGTTTGTAAATGTATAGTATTCATGTGCCATGGGGGCACTCTAAATATGCGGTGAGCCAAAGTCCTCTAGAGAGATTGGTGGCAGGGAAAGAGAGGTGGGAAACCCTCGGACCTGTCTCCCCAAAGTGCTCTCCATCAAAATTGGGGGCAAAACAGAGCTAAATTGCACTGTCACCTGTAAGGTGCTCAAGGGTACTGCCAACGACAGGTGTATCTTGCTTTCCTTGCCACGAGGATTTTTGTGTGCTTGGGCTGACTATAGTTCAGACAAGTGAGCATTAGTTAACAACAATAGCTGATGGGATTTCATAATTAGTTGAGATGTTTTACATAAGCCCTATTAAAATTAGTCAGCTTTTATGCCTGAAATTCACTTTTTAAAATCTTACGTAATTTTTAAAATGTATGCTTTTTATAGCACCTTTTTTATTCATTTTAGAACAGAAATTTTTTCTTCCATTTATTTGTGCGGTTCCAACTAGGAAATTTTTAGGTAACTGGCATTTGCCGAGGTATCCAGATAGATAAGCTTTTACTGCAATATGGGACATTTAAATACTCAAAATCATATGCAGGATGATAAAGCTTTGTGTTAGAGAACCATAATATTAAAAAAAATATTTATTTTTTAGACTAAAGGGCATTAGCCCAAAAGGGCTATTAATTTTGTTTTGGCATTTTGCGTCGAATCGCTATAAACTACGTATCACTTTTCAAATTGTTGCCACCAAATATTATCACCCTGTATTATCTTTAAAGAAATTAAATAATGAAGAATCTGCATAAATGTATGTTTCTCGCATTGTGATAAAACCAGTGGTACCTAGAGCCATTAAATTTGGATAATGTAATCCTCCACCTGAATATGGGCATCTGGAAGCCCAAATTTGGAATTTGTTTTATTATCTATTTCATATTTTGTAAAACTTTAATGAATTTTTTATTAACAAACTCAACAATTTCAAAGCAAGCAATGGCAACACTATACAGGAAGAAAAACCATTTTTATCTCCAGTGTGTGAGACTGTGTATTGGGATCTAAAGATATGTTCTTTTAAGATTACTTTGTGATATTGTTGTTGAATTGAAGTTTATGGTTTAAGTGCGAAAAATATAATATTTAATAAATAAAGGTCACACACATTAAAAAAAAGCCCCTTTGGGCACAATATAAAATCTGAAAACTTTCAGATTGTTCTTCTACATTTGATTGCCTACATTTGATTGCTTCTACATTTGATTGACTACATTGTATTTTATTTATTTATTTTCACTTCTTCATACAATGAAAGTATTTTACTCAAGTATAGTAGTGAAATGTAAGGAAAACAAACTTGAATATTCAAATCAGAGTGTGTAAATATCTCATATTCAGTTTACAAGATGCAAAATCACCGTGGCATCAGCTTTTGTAAATTCTGCTTTAAGAGCACATAACCGAACAAATAAAATTATGAATTCGCTTATTAAATTAAGACTTGAAACACTTTCATTGAGTTATTCCACAACTCACTCTTCTGAACTATTTTTGATTAACTGAACTTTGAACTAAACCGATTCGCTGTTCAACCCAAAATTTCATTATTTTCCCAGGAAGTGTGGCAAATTGTGAGAGAGGGGAATAATATTGTTAGAATTTTATCTCATATTTATTCGACACACTCGTATGTGTGCTAAGCAATGTTTCTAAAACCTTTTTAAAAACATACACTTTAACTATGCAGAAGTATCTTATATTTTATAATATAACTATACTGAAGATCAATGTGATTTGTTATTGAAAAATGAGTTATGATAGATTAAAATGAAATACTATACGTGTAGATGGAACATATTCTTAACAGAGGTAATATTCTTGTGTTTTCAATTTCTTAAAACATCTTAGAGCTATTCAAAAGTTCTGAGTGATTTTGCAGTAGTCAACCAGAGAGATCAATATATTTGTTCAATATATTTTTGACAGTCCAGTATAATCTTTGGTTTCTAATTAACAGACCTCAATTTGATACTTAAGGTCATGGATGCAATAGCAGTGCAATTACTATCCTTAATAGGAAATAGAGCTGTGAACCTGCAACTTAACCCTCTGGGCGGCATGACCGGATTTATCTGGTAATGAGATTTTTTGTCACTTGATACATATAAGCTTATAACTTAAGATATTTTGATTTCTTACTTTCTTTAATAATATAAATGTAATCTTAATGAAAATAGAGGTTAAAAAATATGTAATTATATACATTTAGCTAATAAGTGCTGCATAAATACAGGTCTTCATGACAAATCCAAAAATCTGTGCTGCTCAGAAAGTTAAACTAGCAAGAAAACAGTGTTCCTTAAATTTCAATAATATAAGCCTAATTTCTGACAATTGTGATTCAAACTATTTGAATATGCAAAATATAATAACCAGGGTAATAGAAACTTAAAATTATATTCCTTTTTAAATAAAAATAGTTTTCATAGTTTTGCCTCTAAAATAAATGACTTAATAGTCACCTGAATTGCACGAGTTAATTGGTAATATAAAGATTACGACAGTTAAATAAAAATATAAACACATCTCCTATATATATATATATATATATATATATGTATGTATATATTTATTTCTTATAAATGACAAAATGCAAGATATATAAAAAATAAGTCACATTTATTAATTTGTGTTGCTATTTCCAAACACCTGCCTTAATAACAGAGAATTTCTTTCATCTGTAGCTTGCATATCATCATTTACTTTGTCCTCGGCTTTAAAAGGTTTTGAAAGTATTTGATTAATTAATGTAACATTTACTTCATTATCATTTTTATGTTTTTTCAGTCGCTTCATTTTTTCTACTCCTTTAGTATAGAAATTGACTTCCCGTTTCACCTGGGCAATTTCAGCTCGCATTCGTTGTTCTTTTCTAGCTTTCTCATATGCTTTTCGTTCATTGAGATTGCTCCACTGAAATCTAGAAAAAAATACTTTCTTTCAGTATGAAATAGAAAAATGGCTCTTGTACATACAAAAGCAGACACATATAAAAATTAAACATATGTTGCATTTTCTGTGCTAGTAGATTTGGCAGTTGATAAAATTAGTATAATCAAAGTCCATTATAATAAAGTTCCAGATATAATGGACGAATCTTCAGGTCCCATCTAATTTTCTATGTGCTTAACCTTCCAGCACGCGTGCTTGTCAATTTTACATGAGCATGCACACATCATATTTTTACGACATCCGTTATTTTACCGTTTTTAGCACGAAAAATGACAGAAATGAGTGAATATTGATAATAAATCTGTTAAGAAATAAAATATTAATCTTATTATTGCAAAATGCAAATGATATCACATTGAAATACAGTCAAAAGTTGTTAATCCGGACTCGTCGGGACTTCGGCGATTCCGGATTATAGATCATAAGTTTAAATCTGGTAAGATGGCATGCAGAAATTATAAAATTAAAAATATGAAACCGTAATTTATGAAATAAAGAACAATTATGATCTAAAGGGTATCAAAATTTACAAAAAGGAAAAGCTTAATATTTATTTCTTTACTTTATTAAACATTTCTTTCAATGTAAGTTGTTTAAGTTGCTTCGTTTCGTGTGATAATACTTTCTCTTTAATTCTATTAAACAGACATAATTTCTTGTTTAGTTACAAAGTTCCACTGTTCAAGTCCTATAACTGATGTGTCGAGAATAACGACTAATTTGTCAATCAAAATTTTTTCGTTTTCAATAACCTCTGTGTCACTTTCTTCACTATCGGAAGCGAATTATAATGACGAGGAACTTGATTTAAATCATATGAAAGACGGAGTACATTGAGATGAGATACTACATTTAGTAAGGAATTATAAGCTAAATAAAAACATCTGCCCTGAAGATAAGGATAGTGCTGACAGATCAATTTCCAATTCATTGCGCACTGCGACGTTCTCTCCCCCCCCCCACACACACGTAACGAAAGCCCTTACAAAACATCCCATGATTCAAAATTTCCCGGAATGATGCAAATGATTACGTCATAATAGGGTTTCCATAACATTCAACTACTCAGGCTACCATAAATGAAATAACAACTTGGCGATAAATGAAACAACAACTTCACGATAATACAAGGGCTACCCTTGAGTCTACTCTAATGCCATATGGAAAAACTGAAACTTGACAATGTCAATCCATTTTTTAAAAATATTTTTGTATGTGTTATACGCATGTGTATCCATGTATATCTGTGTGTGTTTTATCATTCAAATTTTACATATTTTTGTGAGATAATCCTTTTTCTTCAACAGATCAGATATAATGAACCAAACATCTGGTCCCTTGAAGTTCATTATAATATGGTTTGACAGCAGTTCTATTTCCTGAATTTAGAATTGATGATTTTCTAAAATAAACTGCTAACAATAAATAACATAGCAGCATATAACAATAGAACAATATGTAAAAACTCTAACATCTGATAATGGCAAAAGATCTTATGTAGATTCTAAAGTTGGCTTAAAAAATGTTAGCACATTTGATTTTTAAGCAAAATGGTTTAAAATGTATACTGTTGATCAGTTAGTACTTTCAACACTACTCTTTTAATTTAGAATTATTTACAATAAAGATTGTTACTACTACAATAATACTATCTTAAATTAGATCTTGCTAAATTGAAAGCTAAAAAAGTAGGGAGTGAAGGATAGAATGATATGGGTAAGTATGCTACTTCATTAATATTTTATGAGGCAGCTATTATTTTGTAATGAAATTTACATAACAGTGGGGTTCAATAAAGTATGTCAAATGGATAAACACAGTTAAGTTTAGACACCTTATGTATTAAAACACAATAACATGCCAAACAAATACTAATTCAGAAGTCAAACAACAAAAATCAGCATTACATTTTCAAAATTTTCACAGAACTAGTTTCGATGGTTTTACTGAACCACCATCTTCAGCTGCAAAACCGCAAATAAACGAGATAGGATATAATGATTAGATAACATAGAAAGCCTGGACAAGAATAGCAAGTGGAGCCATCTGTTGATGAAACCAGAACTAAAACATAATTTCTTTAAAGGCCGAAGGCAAAGATGGATTGGAATTAGGATCGTTAACTAGAACAGAGAGATTTTTATGAATGTGAAATGCCTCTAGAAAATCCAGTTCTCCAATGAAAGATGTTTTTTGAATAATTTTGGCAGCAGAAAAATTGAAAGTGTGATTTTTGGACCAACAATGTTGAGCAACAGAAGACTGCTGTGTTTCCTTTTTTCTAACATATGCCTCATGTTCCTTGATGCGAAATTTTAAGGCTCTCCTAGTTTGGCCAATGTAAATTAAACCACACTGGCAAGGAATCCTATAAATACCCCAGGGATTCATATCCGTAATGGGGTCCTTGAGTATAGAAGTTCGAATTTTATTGATGGGAGAGTAAACAACTCGAAAGTTAAATTTCTGCAAAATATGTGCAACTTTATAGATAATTGATGGAAAGAAGGGAATGACAACAGAATTTTTATAATCTCCTAAAACAAGAGTGTGCCTTTTAGTGTGCTGAGATGAGAATTTTTTAACTGCTTGATTAATAATGTTAGGTGAAAAGCCCCTGTCAATAGCTATTGCTTTTAAATAATTTAGTTCTTCATCAAGGGATAGTTTGGAGGAGCAAACTTGAAGAGCACGGAAAACATAGGAATAAAATGAAGCTAACTTTTTTTAGTCGGATGACAAGTTCAAAAGTGAACTGAATAGCAGGATCAATAGAATTCATTGTTGAAAGAACTTTATTTAAATCATCTTTATTACCTTCAAACAGGGTAAAAGTATCGTCTACGTAGCGTAACATTTCGCGTCAAGGAACATGTGGCATATGTTAGAAAAAAGGAAACACAGAAGTCTTCTGTTGCTCAACTTTGTTGGTCCGAAAATCCCACTTTCAATTTTTCTGCTGCCAAAATTATTCAAAAAACATCTTCCATTGGAGAACAGGATTTTCTAGAGGCATTTCACATTCAAAAAAATCTCTCTGTTCTAGTTAACAATCCTAATTCCAATCCATCTTTGCCTTCGGCCTTTAAAGAAATTATGTTTTAGTTCTGGATTCATCAACAGATGGTGCCACTTGCTTATTCTTGTCCAGGCTTTCTCATCTTATCTAATCATTATATCCCATCTCGGTCATTTGCGGTTTTGCAGCTGAGGACGGTGGTTCAGTAAAACCATCGAAACTAGTCCTGTGAAAATTTTGAAAATATAACGCTGACTTTTCTTGTTTGACTACTGAATTAGCACCCTATGTATATTTGATTTGCAAATTAAGAAGAGTAATTGTAGCTGTGGCTCCTAGTTGGTTTCTAAATAGAATGATTAAAGAAAAAGTTAATGATAAATTCTGATTTAATTTATATGACAAGAAATATACAAGAAAGATTTATGAGAATGGAACAATTTTTATTCCTTATAATATCAATAAATTACAGGAAAGTTACCATCTGTTTAAAGATAAAATTTGGAAATATCGAGATTAATAATAATAAAATCAAGTTTGTAGTTTTAAAGATTCAGTGTGTAATCTGGGAACTGTAATGCATTTTATATATTAGTGTTCATAATTAAGAAACTTTTCATACCTGAAAATTACTTTAAAAATAGATTTCAATGAAATTCAGTATGGATATAGGTTGGTACAATAACAAAAAATATACTATACAACAGGTTATGGTACACTTGTGCAATCATACATAAGGATCTAAATAATAAGATCTAAAACAAAGACTGCAAGATCAAACAGAGAAGGAAGCTAATAGGAGGATATGATACCCTCTAACAATAGTCCTATACCTCTCACAATGTGACTTCATATTGAAAATGAGCTGGTTTATGAGTCCCTGAGGCAGTTGGTCCTACTCTTTACAGCAACACTATTTTCAGGTCCAGGAGATTTCTGGAAGAGGGAAAGCAAATTGCAGTTTCCCTCTTAACCTTCCAGCACGCACGTATGTGCAAAATTTACAACAAATTTAGTTTTTAATGCACATTTTTCGCATTTCGAAGCTGAGACATCTAAATGTCACTTCTATTCCTCCTTTCTACCCTTTCTCACATCATGAAATGTGCCAACAAGAAGTCATTTGACTTTTTTTGTTTTTTAGCTGGGCTTTTGTGCTACGTGGCACCTTTTTCATAAAAGTTACGTCACGGGCATGGTTGTGTTTTAAAATTCGGAAAATATTTTTTTCCTCAAATATTTTGTAATTTTGTGTTATTAATTGCCGTGTATTATTTTAATTTGAATACATTTGGCTCTGTAAATTTTATATCGGTTTTCATGGCAAAAAAATATGTGCAAGCAGCTGATTTTACTCGGTTCTTCAAGAATTATCTGATGAAGAAAAGGAAGACAAGGAAACCTTTGGATGGGAGAACAATAGAGATTTTCATTCCTTATTTTCTTTTATTTCTATTTTTTAGAAATAAAGACATTAAAGTTAGTTTAAAGTGCATCTTTGTAACCAGTAAGAAGTAAATTTCCTTGCAGAAGTAAGTAAGGCTAAACTTACTTTTTTTCTTACCAAGGTGTTTTCCTTTTTTATTGTCTATACTTATCTTTGATGAATATTAAAATTAGCTTCGATTTAAAATATAATTATTGAATAACAAATTTTAAATTTTCTATAATGAAATACATCATTGCATTTCCATCTCACTAACATAAGAACTTAAAAGTAACTTACTTATATTTCAATGTGATATCATTTGTATTTTGCAATAATAAGATTAATATTTTATTTCTTAATAAATTTATTATCAATATTTACTCATTTATGTCGTTTTTCGTGCCCAAAATGGTAAAATAACAGATGTCATAAAAAATACGACGCGCGCATGCTTATGTGAAATTGCCAAGCGCGCATGCTGGAAGATTAAAGGCATCCTAGGCATGTTTTCTGAGATTTAGACCTCATCTAATTAATATCCTCACTTTCATGAAAACCATCCACCAAATTTGCCCTATGTGGATAAGCAATTCATAAAAATAAACCAAGGGCCAACTGCATCCCTGAAAAGGTGAATGTAGGGCTTTAAGGTGTCGTCTGCTTGGAGGAAAACTTGCATTTTGTGTTTCCTTCTCATGTGCTAAACAAGCTCTCTAGTGCATTCACCTCTATACACAAGAAAGCTTGTTTACCATGGTAAAGAGAACATCGAGTTTGGGACTCAGCATCAGTGAGACTGTTCTTAAAAAATATGCTAAAAACATTGCAGTTCATTTAAATGTTAAAACCAGGGATACAGATGATCAGAAAATACTCAAATCCATACACGCCGCAGGTGTATGGATTTGGGATCATGTGTATTCACCTTGCTCAGCCAATGCGTTAACTGCCTCAGGTATATGCCCTTCCAAAAAAATTTTATTTTAAAAATCTATTTAAATTTGCTGGACTGCTATACATTGGTGACCAATGAATAGAGTGCCAGTGATTATCAAATTGTAGGTTAATAGTGACTTACAACTTTAATAAACAGTTACAGTCTTTGGTTTAATTTAAATTTAATTACTTATATAAACTTACTTATATTTCACCATACCAGAGATCTATGGATTGCTTGCCAGTGACCATCAACCTGTAGATGAGGCACCAGTGTTCTTTAATTAAATTTACTGTACCATTCTAAAATAATGACCAACAACCTTGATGGCCACATTTGGCTTGATTTTATTTTAATAACCTATCCAAATGACATAATGTCAAATATATTTTATTTATAACAGCAAATGATAATTTTGTAAGTATTTGTAGCATTACTTTAATTAATATATGATGTATCTCATGCCAAATATTATGCATCTGATACAAAATTAGTACTATTATAGTTCAGAAAAATAACTTTCATAAAAATGAACAGTCTAAAAAATACATACTTATGTAAATATTTTATGCTCCAGAGAGCATCATAATATGGAGAATGACGCCTGCCTCCAACCTGAGCTCCATTAAGACATTCAGCAACTCTTTTTGCAACTTTCTTGCTAGCAAATTCCACCCAACCTTCACTGAAAAACTTACTAGGTTTACCAGGCTTCTTGCTTTTTTCTATAAAAATACAAGTAAATATGTTTGTTCAATCCTAAATAATATATTTATGTCATATGTTCTTAGACACAATTTACACACATTTATTTTTACAAACAATATGCTTAGTAAAAATACTTGGTACTTCTTTCCAAAAGTAGCCTCCAAAAATATTTGGCAATTTTAGATTTGTGCCAAGATCTCAGCTATAATTTTTCCAAGCTCATGAAATGCAAACTTAAAAAAATAAACAGCAAAATCACATGCCATTTCCTAAGAATATTTTTAAGAATCCTTATTTTTATTATTATTATTTTATTGCGTAGAACTGTTCCAGTCAATTGAAACACTTTCATGCATATTAAGCTGTTGCACCATTTCATGAACATCACTTCCTCTGCCCAAGAATACATAAATATAACAGCAATGGCGAACAATATTCTGGAATCGCTGAGCCAATTTTCAACGCAGAGGTTCTTCTTTTCCTACTGCGCTTCCAAACGGTTTCATAAACATAAAAAATGAGTTTTTTTTTTTTTTTTTTTTTTTTTACTTTGTGAAAATTACACATTTATATCGTCAAGTATGCTACTTGGAATGAGGCTAAATTTTTTCGCAAACCGTCCCTTTCTAAAAAACATTTTCCGACTCCTGGTCTAGAGTCTCCATCACATATGATTCAAGTTAATGAAATGTTTGTTTTTGAAAAGCTCACATTTCTTCCTCTGTTTGGAAAATGACTGAGGACATCTTTTTCGCTCCTATCTTACTAGAAAATGTCACTTTCACTGGTCGAGAAAGCACGTAAGATTTTGTCCGAACTCATTTTCAGACTATAGTTGCACATTTATTGAACTGATTATGAATGTATTTTGAACATCATTTTATTAACCCCGTTTTTCTGCTAGCTTACAGTATTTCAAAAGTTAAAACGTAATTGAAAGAGACAGACTGAATAACTTACCAGGTTTCAGAAACAATCTACGAACTTCTCCAAATTCTGAGAAATGTTCCCTAACTTTTTTAACAGTCATATAACGAGGAATATAATTTAAATAAATTACTCCTGGCTTTTTTACCTTCTTCTTCGGAGTGACTTGCGCCTCCATGATGTAAACAGTGAAATACGTAGGTTACAGTGAATAAATGTGATCAGCGTTATGAAACGTGCGTGTGCATTGGAGTACTTTTGAAACGTGTGTAATATAATATTTTTAATTTAATCAGAAAATAAAATTACTTGTTATTTTCAATACTCAATTTATGTTTTATTCGTATATCAAATAAACCTAGCTGTGTATATGGGGCTTTGCAGGGAAACTGAAGCTTGGCGTATATTTGATTTGGTCAGTGCGCTATCTGTTGTCAGTTTTAAATTAATTTTAAGTATGAGGTTTAAAATTACGTTGTGTTTTCAACTAAAAGTTGTAAGCATGAAACAATTTTGTATATTTTTTTTGTACTAAAAAAAAAAAAAAAAAAAATGAATGCATTCAAAATATAGAACTTAGTATGAAATCCATTTAAGTATGGAGTGTTAAGTGCACTGACATAACATTCATACATATGAAGCTTTTAAAAATATGAATTATTTGCCACATATAATGTATTATCATATGTAGTTAAAAAAAAAATGTGCATGCAAAGTTGAAGTGGGGAGGGCAAGTAACTGTGAAATTTAAAGTGTGGTTTAAAAAAAATTAAGCAGTAATCATTAGCATTTTAATTGTTCTTAATGTCTGGAACAATTCTGGTAGCTATTCAACAGTAGTTTTTCTTTATTTGGATGTAAATTTTGTGTTTTGATTAAGCCTAGTATTGCTTAATTTTAAGATTTCTGCACTGCATTTGAAATGTTCCAAGTTTTTACTAAAAAAAAAAAAAAAAAAAATTATTATATTTAAAATGGCATAACATAAAGAAACATAAAGATGGAATCACATTTTGGATAATACTATCTTTTAATTATCATCTTTCATTTTTAATGAATGTAAAGTATCTTTCATAAATTGAATATTATTTGTGCATATATTAATCTGCTTATATTTCTTGGAGGTTGTTCATAAATTGTTTTTTCTTAATCTTGAATCTGTAGAACATATTTAAATTTTAATAGTTACTGCATAATGTGCAGTATAATTTAAATATTTTAAGTTATAAAATCTCATAAATTAAACTGTAGAAGTTATAGCATAATATATGTAATCATAAATTGAATATTATTTGTGCATATATTAATCTGCTTATATTTCTTGGAGGTTGTTCATAAATTGTTTTTTCTTAATCTTGAATCTGTAGAACATATTTAAATTTTAATAGTTACTGCATAATGTGCAGTATAATTTAAATATTTTAAGTTATAAAATCTCATAAATTAAACTGTAGAAGTTATAGCATAATATATGTAATAACTGATTAACTGTTGCAACTGATTAAATTATTTTAAATTCCTGTTTAATGTGCATATTTAATAACAAAAACGACATCAATCATGGTTGTTTACGTGTCTTTTTATGGGAAAAGTATTTTTTGATATGTTTTTAATTTAAAACATTCTTAGAGTATGAAGAAAAATATATGTATGTTTACCTACTGTTGTAATGCACTAAAAGTCTTTTCACATATATTTTTGTTTTTGAGGAAGGTTTTCTTGATTTTTAATTTTCTTTTATTTAAATTAACTTTTGGAAGTAAGTGATTTATTTATCCTCTTCTGCATACTGTTCTTATAAGCAAATCTATTGTATTATGTTCTTTATGCCAAATATTGTCATTTTTTAAATATCAGTATAGTTTACCAGTTTTAATGATATTTTGCTTATTACCATAGATATTTTTCATCCCTCCCACACATAACCAAAAAGAAAAAAAAAAAAAAAAAAAGCCATAACTGCCAAATGTAAAGGCAGATCACTATTTTGAAAAAAAAAAAAAAAAAAAAAAAGTTTAATTAAAAAAAAAATGCTTGTAAATTTTTTAATTTTGATTTCAGTTTTCTAAACCAAAATCGCAACTTGTTTTTATTGTTTGAAAATCACTAATTATTATTAGTTTCATTAAATTTCCTGTAATTTTATTATGGTTACTCAAATTTTTAAGGTGTTTTGATATTTTTGTATAGATTTAGAAGTTCTATAACAGTTTTAGTTCTGTAGCAGATTCAGAAGATCATTTTATTTTTGCAGAAATCCTTTAGTGAACTTCTTCAAAACTTTTACAGGCTCAGTCAAAGGAGAAAAAAATCATTCTACAAATTCAAATTTTTATTTTTACTGTAGGTTTAAAATTTATAATAGTGAATAGAAATCAGCCTTTTATTTTCAAAATTTTCTTTTTATGAGCATTCTTCAGGAAATGACTTCTATTAATAAACGTAAAGATTGAATTTTATTAAATGCTGGAATTTTTACCATGTATAATTCTTATATGTAATTATTTTGAAAATAATATTTTACATTTTATTCTAGTGAGTTTGTATGTAACTAGAAGAAAATGGAGTCACCTCCTGCATAGCAAAATATTATTGTTTTTATGTGAAGATGGCTAATAGTCAATATTCTTCTGGGGAGAAACAATTTAAATTTTTATTAGTTGGAAATGAAGCTGTTGGAAAGGTATATATATATATATATAGCTGAATCAATATATTTTTTAAATTTATGAATTGAATTTAATAAGTTCTGCTGTAGATAAATATTTTTAGTATTGATGAAAGTATATAATTCTATATTTAAACATTACAAAATTAATATTTATGTGATATTTATTACGTAATGCAGTATAAAGCCCAAGGTCTGCAATCGTTGGAACTTTGGTAATTTCAGAAATTTCTGGATTTTAGATCATCATTTTAAATTTAGTAAAGATGACATGTACACATGGCAACATTACGGCTTCACTTATCTCAATTAGTGTTGGGGGATCTCAGTTACTGCACACCTACATCCATTTGATGATGTAGTTCAAAATTGTTTCAAAAGAATAAATTTAATTGTTTGTTTCAAAAGAATAAATTGAATTTAATTAAATAAATTTAATTTAAATATAAATTTAATTAAATATTCTTTGCGCCATTGCTGCAAGGTAGTTCGAGAATTAAATCTTTTATATGTTTGCACATTTTTTAAAAAATTTTTTAAAAATTATTTTGGCTTTAAATTTGCTTTTTTACTTTTATACGTGTTTGTTAAAATTAAAATTAATTTTTTTTTAAACATTTGAGAAGTATTATATTCTTCATTCCAAAACTTTGTAAGGGGAAGGGGATTTTATTATTATTATTATTATTATTTTAGGGGGGGACTGGTGGTTCGGAGGTCCAGATATTGAAGGTCCAGATTTCGGGCTTTATACTATATATAATTAATATGTCATACATTAACATCTTTTATGCTGATTTAATTTAACATAATGATATAGGAATAAAGCTAACTTGCTTATTTTTTATATAGAATGCCCATGAAATTTTTGTATATTTTCTTCTTTTCACTTTTTAAATTGTTTTCTCCAATCTGCATCAGTTTATCTTAACACAAGCAGTAAAAGTATACAGTATCATGTATAAAATAGGCAACAAGTAATTCTCTCACAAAATGGTAATATCCTCACTGAAAGCTGTGCATGACGAAAGTTTATTTTTACATGATAAATAATGTACCTTGGTTTCCGCAGTGGTAAAATCAATTAAAATGGAAAATAAAAGCTTTTGATTAACACCAAATCACGCATGAAAGTAGAAAATAAGTTTTGTGCGGGAAAGAAAACAAGCATTATATGCAAAGATGGAAATAATACTTAATTTTCATAAATTATATAATGTCACATTTGGATCATTAACAAATGTTTAAAAGCTAACAATAAAAAATAAAACATACTGTATAAGGAATATGATCAGCCTAGACCTTCATGCTAATTTCAAAGTGATTGTCCATGTTTTCAATCAGGTGATCAACTATTGCAAATGATAGCAGTGACCATTCTTCCTAAGACAGTTGCCAGCAGTCTGGAAGAGATAGGCATGGAAAGGCAAAACATCCAAAGACATCCTAAAGATTTTCAGTGTGTTTAATATTGGGGTAATATGTTGGCCATTCCATACGAGAAAGGCTGTCACTATCCAGATATTTGTTAACGATGATGTCTTGATGGAGATTGGCGTTATCATCCATAGAGGACATCAGGAACAATCGAGTGGTCTAATAGGAGAAAACAGAACCTAATATCATTTCATTCTAATACCACACAGTCATTGCAGAACTATCTTTAAATATGTGCAGCAGAGTGCAATATTCCATTAAAATTCCTGCCTACACTGTGATGCTACAACTTTCGAATGCACGATATTTAATGATATTCTGGGTCTGATTCAGTGTGCCTGGTTCTATTCAGATCTATACATGCTTATCATCTGATTCCAGGACAATTTTGACCCATGAACAGAACATTGCATGATGTTGATGACAACACTTTAATCTCAAACACTTGGTACTAGAGTGTATAGTCCATTCAGGTCTTCAGGGCACAGTACTGGCAGATATTGTCTTGCCAAGTAATGCTGCAGCCATATGTAATATTTGCAGAAGTTATTCATTGATTCCATGACTGCCTAATTAGCCTATGTTTGAACCGTCATGATTACCATAACATATAATATTTGTAAACTATCATCTGCATTCGCAACAATTTTCAACCATTTTCAAATTCCACTACACTTTGGAAAGATGCAACTTTTCAAAACCAGTATAATTAATGTGTACCTGCCCAACAACATACGTTTTCATGTGTAATGTAGTAAGGTATGGTAAAATGAAAACACACCAAGAAAATGTTAAGAAAGGAAACAATATTTGAAGATTTAGCATGTTGGAATTAAAATTTATACTTTTTTCAGATATTCAGTTATGAGGATTTAAAAATTTTTTACTTGATGTATACATAGTATGTACTAATTATTACTTGATATGCATATAATTTTAAGTATGTTTAGCATAATATACTGCAGCTACGAGCTTATAAAATTTAATTTCCTTATAATGATTGTACAGTCAAAAGTCGTTAATTCGGACACCCATAATCCGGACCTCAAAGCTACAAACTTTCTGCGCATGTGTCGCTTTGACGCATGCGCATAGGCGTTTATGCGTGCGCATAAGACCTTTACGGCTGCGAATATGCATGTGCACATGCACATAATATGTTTATGCATGCGCTTTTAATGCATAACGGACGGTATAAGCTAAGCTAAAATTATCTAATTCAATTAATGTTGCAGATTGCGTTGTTCCTTAATCTTCGAATTGGATCCGGCTTATTATTTTTTAGACTGTTAGAGCAATTTTATAAAAGTAAGCTTGAACTTTCGATTATGTCAAATAGAATTTCCGATATATGTTTACTAATATGTAAATGATCTACAAAGCGAAAGTATGTTTTGAAGTCCATTAAACAGAGAGTGGAATTGCTGCAAAAAATGGATAAAGGCATATCCTTTGATTATCTAATCATTTCAAAATATGTTTATCAATTTCACGCTGCTCTGCGGGGGGAGGGAAACGACGCAGCGCGCAATGAATTGGAAGTTGATCTGTCAGCACTATCCTTATCTTCAGGGCAGATGTTTTTATTTTATTTGGCTTATAATTCCTTACTAAATGTAGTATTTCATCTCAATGTACTCCGTGTTTCATATGATTTAAATCAAGTTCCTCGTCATTATAATTCGCTTCCGATAGTGAAGAAAGTGACACAGAGGTTATTGAAAACGAAAAAATTTTGATTGACAAATTAGTCGTTATTCTCGACACATCAGTTATAGGACTTGAACAGTGGAACTTTGTAACTAAACAAGAATTATGTCTGTTTAATAGAATTAAAGAGAAAGTATTATCACACGAAACGAAGCAACTTAAACAACTTACATTGAAAGAAATGTTTAATAAAGTAAACAAATAAATATTAAGCTTTTCCTTTTTGTAAATTTTGATACCCTTTAGATCATAATTGGTTCTTTATTTCATAAATTACGGTTTCATATTTTTAATTTTATAATTTCTGCATGCCATCTTACCAGATTTAAACTGATGATCTATAATCCGGAATCGCCGAAGTCCCGACAAGTCCGGATTAACGACTTTTGACTGTATATATTGAAATTGAAAATATACAATGAAATCTCTCATAGCTCACTCCTGAGATGGCCACTTCTGAAAGTGGTCAGCATTTCTAATAATGTAATTAAATAATAATACTTAGAGCCACCTGTAATCATGTTTTCTAAGCCAGTCATTACCATAAAAGACCAGAATTGCTTAGGATCATGGATGTTTTTTCTGAGGAAGATTTCGCTGCATATTCATTACATTTACACATATATGTATATATTTTGCTTTGCTAGACTTTTTAATTTTAATGACCTGTTCAAGTAATACTGTCTCTCTGCATGTAGTTTGTTTCATAGATTAATTATAGTATATTTTAAGTAAATACTGGTATTTAGATGTAACATTTCTTATGATATATGCTCGTTTCTATTAAACAAATGGGATTAATTTAGTAAAATAAATCTGAGGAAGTTTTGTTTTGCATCTTATTTTGTTGTAGCTGTCAGTTAGCAAAATATTCGCAAATTAATTGATAGATTTCAATTGAAATTCTGTATTATTATTATTATTTTTATTTTTTGAAATTATTCATCAAAATCAAAAGTGGTCTTTGTGGTGTCTTGAACTGAAAGTGGTCTTTATTATGTATTGATTCAATTATTTTTTTATTTTCATCTTTTAGACATGTTTAGCTCTGAGATTTACTCAAGACAAATTTGATAAACTGTATAAACAGACAGTTGGTGTTGATTTCTTTCTGAAACGCATAATCCTACCAGGTATCGTATTTTTCCTGAACTTTCATAGCCTAAGCCTTTCATAGTTAAAACTTTCTCAGAGGAAGATTAATTTAACGGAATTTTTTTTTTTTTTTTTTTTTTTTTTTTTTTGCAATGGAAGAAACTGCTGTACAGTTTTTACAGGAGTACTTACTTTTCCACAGATTGCTTTGAATATTTTATTAAAGTGATTGCCATGGATTTCCTAACAGACTAAAAGACAACAACAACAACAACAAAAAAAAAAAAAAAAAAAAAAAAAAATCTTATAAAAAAGTATTATTAATTGATTTTGGGGGATAAATAACAAATGAAAATGTAAGCCATGTATGTATGTAATAAATAATTTTTTTGAAATTTGAAGTCACCATTCTTTTTCTTATGTAAAAAATCATGAAATTGCCCAGGCTGATTATATTAATACATAAAGGTGCTTTCTGATTATCCACAACCAGACCGAAAAGTCATGGAAAAGGATTCATGAGCCAAAGCAATATGTCATCAAAATAGTTGTGTGACAACCCACGATGTCACCAAAAAGTAAGCAACTCAGATATTTCTATAGGACATTTCTGTTTTGTCCTGTGCGTAGATAGCAAGTTATACAGATGCCAAGTTTTTGTAATTTAGTCCTGTGTACATGGAGAAAAAACAATAGCACAAAAGAGAAAAATTTTGTGAAAAAGGAGTGTTTTGTTACTGATGTTTCTTGCTTTGTAAATTTTATTCATTGATTGCCATTATATAAAATTCTGAGTGCACTGCCATTTTAAAACATGTCTGTTACATTTCACATATTAGTTTGGTGAAAAATTATTCATCATAAATTTGTAACTTTTTAACTTCTTGGTGGGGATGCAAATAATCAGAAAGTTCTCACTTATGTACTATACTGTAAAAAATATTCATTACATGAAATGCTTTTTTTCATCAGGCAGTGTGAATGTTACACTTCAGTTATGGGATATTGGAGGTCAGTCTCTTGGAGGCGAGATGTTTGATAAATATTTGTATGGAGCTCATGTGAGTGATTTTTTATGCTTTTATCTTTTTTATTAAAATGATGATTAATATACAACTTAATAACCATGTTACAAAAGCTGTAAGTAACATGGATTTTGTTACTCATTAACTGATTTGGATCGAACCTTGGCAAAGAAATGCTGTGTAATGTTTTAATAAATATTAATGATGAAAATTAAATGATATTAATAAATTTTATTTTAATTACTGAACTCGGTAAAAGTTATCAAGCAGAAACAAGTACTAGTATTAGCAGCAAATTTGTAAACTTTGACATGCTTGAAAACAAAAAATTTTTAACTAATAAGAAGCATGCTTTAACCCGGCGGAAGTCGCACCAAGAAAAGTTACTAGAGTGGGCACGTGGGGTATCACATACCCCAATATTTAAAATACGATAAAAATAGTTTTATTTAGTTTTAAGCGGTTTTTCTTGTTCTCATGTATTATAAATACATGAATAATAATTGGGTTTCAAAAAATTAATTTCCAAAATAATCTTAGAGTTAAAATTAAGATAAATGAAAATAATTAAAAAATAAACATCATGCCTCTAAGTTTCATTGCGTCTCTAATAAACAATGCTTATTTTATTTCTTCACATTTTGAACGAAATACATTCACGTGTTCTTGGCACAGAATGTTTTCACATTTTAAAGATTGCATTCACGTTCTTCTGTCCTTGGCGCGAGGGCAATTTATCACATTTTTCATACTTAGTTGTTTCGAATTTCATGTATTCGTTTTAATTCTTCGTCGAAATTTTTGCTTTTGTTTTGTATGCAGTACGTCAGTCTCTTGGTAAAGTATTAATCTCTGATCTTTGTTCAATACTTGCTTTCATTAATTGTAATGCTAAGTTCTTCAAAAACAGACTTCTGTTCTGGTTGATGAATTAGCAGTTGAATGTAATATAATTCAAGCATTTATTACAGCAACATTCAGTGCAGAAAAAAAAATTATCATTGGCCACCTTCTTGCTATTCTGGCAATTGAATAATTGGCTGACCCCATATCCACTGCTCCTTTAGTCATATTATAAAAACATATAATTCCTGACATTTTATTTTCTCCAATAGTATCATCTATAGTATGATCGTTATGTAATGTTGAAAGCATAAGAACAGTTTTTCCTTTTTTAGGAACATTAGAAATTAATGTTTTATCTTTTTCAAAATGAAAACAGTGTAGAAAATATTCCTAGTTTCATCTTCAGTTTCCGAAATGCAATCTTCATCGCTTTCAAATATTTCTAATAAATATCACAGGCATTTCATCTGCAATTCATAGGGAGTCATTCTTTTTACGATAATGTGGTTAGAAATTTTCAAGAATTTAATGTCAAGTACTTTAAAATCACTTGCGAGTAGAAATGTTTACTGTTACAGTCCAGAAATAAATTTCTGAACTAAATATTCGGTCAGAAAAACACTTACGCAGACAGGCGCGTGGGGTGTGTCATACCCCAGTTCCAACAAAATATCGATAAATCTGTTTCTGAAACACACAGGCAAAGAAAAAGCTGTTCTGAAAGTCAACCACAACTAGAAACTCAGCTACTGAATGCAGCACAGAATTTCAGTTTCACAAGTTAGGAATATTCCACTTTTATGTAGGGGTGGGGTATGAGACACCCCTCGCGCCTTCCCGCGGGTTAAGAATGAGATGTATATAAAATCGGTACTTATGTATTATCCTGTCAATCATGAAACTCTCACCAAGCAGTGCCTTTTAGTGCCAGTTATAGATAAGCATGATGTCATAACATCTGTGCTTTTATTTGATGTAACCCCAGTTGATTCTCAATAAGCCACCTTTTGTTTCTATGAACAAATGTATAAATTTACTGTTATTTCTCTGTTTTTTTCCTTGCAATTTGAAAAAAGTAAGTCTAAGAGCTGTAGAATTACATTTGTGGCTGAACTTTGGTTCATTTACAGTTGGTAGAAAGGATTAACATTTGTTGAAAGGGAGAAGAAAACAGCTGGGTATGGCTGAGAAAATAATAATAGACTCGAGCAACCACCTGTAGGAAGTTTATACTCGAAGTGTTCTAAACAGAGCTTTCGGTAAAATCGGAGGCCCTAACATAATAGCAGAATATAACATATTTTTACAAAGTGCAAAAACGAAGGAATTGAATACTTCCGCAGCAGTGGCTATTTGTTGTGTTGCACAGAGAGAAACTGATGATGTTTTATTATAAGAGTTACAAACAGAAATGAGGCTGAGAATTCTGAATGAACAATTGACACAACTTTGATGGGATCTTCATTAACTTTCGTGGCCGAAGGAATAATAATACATGAGCACCATAAAATCATTACAGTTTATTTGGGGTAGCAATTTATTTGTAACCTGTGGTGCCTTTCTAAAAATAAATTAAACTCGATGACAGAAACAGCCCTTAGAGAGCCATGGCCGGCAGTGCCCTGATATCTGCTTTCTAGATTGTTAGCTTGTACATCTTAGCCTGGACAAGTGGTCAGCTTGTCGCAAGACTCCTGGTGTTTAGTCCCCAAGTGAACTTGGTACTCATTTTATCAACCCACTCAAGGATTGAAAGGCTGAGTCAACCTTGCCCAGCCCGAGCAGTGAACCCCGCACTTTCGTGCTGCTGTGCGATGCACAAGCCACTGCGCTACCGGCAGTGGCGTAGCTAGGGTGGGGCAAGGGGGGACATCTGTCCCCGGGCGCAGCATCCAAGGGTCACCAAATTGATGCTACAAAATTTTTTAATAAAATATTTTCTATTTCTGGCACGCAGAAAGGGTAGCAAATTCGTCAGTTGTCCCCGGGCGCTAGAAACTCTAGCTACGCCCCTGGCTAGCGGGCCTCTTTTCTAAAAATATTCATATAAATTATATAGCAGGGGTGTAGCTAGAGGGGGCCATCTGTCCCCGGGCGCAGAATCCAAGGGCCGCCAAACTGATGTTATGACATTTTAGAATTAAATGTTTTCCATCCTTGGCAAGCAGTAGGCAGCACGAAATCTTCAGTTGCCCCTGGGCGCTGAAAACCCTAGCTACGACTCTGTTATATAGCAGTTTTTCATATTAAAGTTTTGTTTTAAATCATGTTCTATTAAAAGTAATGTTATCTTGTAATTTCCTATATAAAACATACATAATTATTCTTAGGCAATTCTTTTTGTATATGATATTACAAATGAAGAAAGTTTTTCTGATCTTGAAGACTGGCTGCGAATTGTTCATCAGGTTTTCAATGAAGAATGCATAATGCCACATCTTGCATTAGTGAGTAATAAAGGTGAGCTAATTGTATTTTCCATTTCTTTTTAGTGCTTAATCCTTCCATCAATATACCATTATATTATTAAACAACTAAAAAAGTGTCTTAGTAAGATGAAAATGTTGAATATATTTATGAGTTACTAAAATTCTAAATATCTAATTAAATATTTCTTCATAAATACATTGATCCAATGAAAAATATCCAAGTAGTGACACAGTGTGTGAAGTCAAGAAATAAATTATATATCTTATTTAGCAGTTAGATAGGTTTTAGGTTTTAGCAAATGGGAAGTTAATATGGAAGAAATAACTTCCCGCACTCTGATTATGATGGTGATTTTTATGATTACATTCGCTAAAATAAAGTGATTCTGCAATATAGTTTAAGTTAACAGATTTTGTTTCAATCATATCTCAGCCCATTCTGCATTTTTTAAGTCATCTTTTTGCTAGTTTAATATTGAATTTATTCTCCTCATATACTTATATCTATATAGCTTGTTTCACATTTCTTTTAAAAGATTAAAATTATTTTATATAATAGAGTGCAAAACCAGTATTCCTGTGTGTGTGTGGAGTGGAGTGGGGATCTTTCTTATAATAATTTTATGGTAATTATAACTGAATAAAATTAAATAGCTATGCTCAATTATAACTGTGTTATAGTAAATATAATTGGATATAGCTATTTAAAATTTTATAAAATTCAATATTAAAAGCAATGTTATTTTTTTAATAATTTAAGTGACAGTAAGTAAATAAGTGACAAAATGTAAAATAATTTTATAATAGATTCAAGCATGTTATCCATTAAAAAAATTATTTTGTATTGCATGTATATGTTAGATTTGAATTCTGTGTGTACTTTTATTTTTTCCCTCATTTGTACTTTAATAATTTTGCATATTTTCATTTAAAAATTTCTTAGATATTAGTTTATGAAAATTTATAAACTTTTCCTAAAGCGTATAAATTTGAATCTATAAAGGTATTATGCAATGTACTGAATTTTGCATTTTAAAATAATAAATGATTTTTTTTAATTGTATTTTGTCATTAAGCTGATTTTACGCAGTTTGAAATTAGTTTTAATGAAATAACAGTTGTTTATCATTTGATAGTAGTATCATAAACATAATTTTGAAGAATTATGCTTTTTTGCTTTTGTCTTCTAGAAACAAGAAAAATTAAACTGATGGGAGTACCAAAACAGAAAATATTATTTCATAAATATGCTGATTTATGTATTGTTAAGAGGCATTATATCATACATGACTTAACATTGTGATTCATGTTAGATACGAAAGTAAATGTTCACCATTTTGTCCATTCATAAACTCATTTCTACATAAATAATCTTGGTAAAAAAATTAAGCACAACAAAACAAATTTATTCTACAGACAACAGCAACAACAACAACAAAAAAAAAAAAAAAAAAAAAAAAAAAAAAGTGAAGAAGTGAAGAAACAGTTTTTACAGCTGTTGCCACTTGCAGCAAAACAAAAGGGAAAATAATACTACACTGGTTGAATGTATATGAACAATGCTATACTTAACAATTTGGATTAAATTAGAATTCTGCTAATGATTTATGATCTTCATATTTTAACTAATATTCTTAACTTATTCATTGTTATTATTTCCTTCAGAAAATATTACAGCAACTTAATTTTAATAAAAGTTTTATGAATTTATGGTATATTACTACAAATAATCTAACTAGAGAATTTTTTAAATAAATATTTATTTGTATTTTGAATTAAATTAAATTTAAAAGATTATACACATAGAGGATCCCAAATAAAGTCACCAAATGCAGTATTTTATATGGCTGAAGATAAACAAAAAAATGTCTTATGAATATATAATAGGAAACTCTTAGTTTAAATATAGTAGAGTATTGAAGATCTGTCCAAAAAATGCAGATAATAGCTGTCTCTGCATCTTCTTATGTGATGCCCCTGTGACGGATTTAGGGTATTGATGTAATATGTGATCTACTTATTTGATTAGTTATTTGTTAGGTGGTGAGCCATGGCAAACAAATAGAAGGACCCTGGGTGTTCAATTTATATCTCAAACTGAAAAACTTAAAAGATGCTTTTCCATCATCGAACAAAGAAATGCCAAAATGTTGCTACCATAATGCAGTGGGAAGTAATACTTGGCTCGATTATCATGAGTGACAATGGCCTTGTAGAGAAGGGGCTGGGCTGAGTAGGATACAGCTATCAAACTATAAACAACCACAAGAACTCTTCCAGTTCTACTGTCCTCAATCAACAATCAACTGAATTGAGCTGGGGGATTTTGATTCTAAAAATTCTACACAATATGCAAAATACTATGCCACAAATACTTCTGTATTATCTCATAGAAGCATGATAGATATTTGTTAATTCAATAATTATAGCTTCATAAAATAAAAAGTTCAGTAGCTTTCCTATTCAGACGTCTAATATAAAGGCAGGAAAAAACAAATGATTAAGTGCACAACCAATGTTAGTGGTGCCATCTAAAACTAAGTAGCTCATATACTAAATCAGTACCAAATTTAGCATCTATTAAATATCCATATTCAATTTTTCACAAATTCTGGCTGCATATTTAAGACATTGTTCATTGGATCCAAAACATTCTAGGCACCTTGGAACATACCTCTCTCTGTAGTACTGTGATTACTGCTGGTGAATTTTATTTCAAGTATTTGCTATAATAGTTACATACATTTGTTATCTTTCCTTATAGTCCCTTGCAATCTGTTCCATAATGAGCACATGTTGCATCTAGAAGTTGGCTACGTGTCATGCTACCAATATTGAATTAATATTTAACAAGCAAATCTGAACATCATTTTTTAATCATGGCAAGCTATAATCTTGTTGGCTGATAATTTCTTTGCTAAATTCCATATTTTACCTTTCCCATGTGGGGGCAAGCAGCTAACCTTCACATACTATATTAAATACAACTGGAAAAGAAAAATATATTTGTACAAATTTTTCTGGATGGTAGAGATGAAGTGCAGAATACGATGTACAACTATTTATGCAGAGACTTTTTTGTCAGTGCAATTACAGAGTTGTGCCTTGGCAAGAGGTCGCCTTCCCATCTGCTAATCTACATGGTAGAGTTTCACTTTGCACTTTTCATCCATCAACAGTTCTGTTCACCTCTTTGTATAGAGCGAAGGGGAAAAAAACTCCACTTAAAAAAAATAAGAGCACCTATTACAGACAACACATTAATTCCACTCTACAATTACACTGAATACAAAGCAGAAAGGGAGATACAGTATCCTATTTCAACGGGCAGCATTGCAGTAGATATTATAACAAATTCTCTGCTTCCCAATGAAGTTTTGTGTCTCAGAAGTTGTAAACTCTGCATTTCCCACTATGTGTTTATAGGACTTTCAGCAGCAAATTGTTGTACTGTTGTTTTACCAGTTTTATTTTGCACACATATTAAGCTGCAAAAGCAAGTGCTTGTTATCTATGTTCTTTATCCTGCAACTTATAAACTATGCATTTCCTGCTGTATGTATGTAGGTTTTTTTTTTTTTTGTTTTGTTGTTTTTGTTTTCTTCAGCCACAGATGCATTGTTGATGTGTGTTTATTTTATTCTGATACACTCTGTATAGTGTCTTATAGTTTTTGTTACAAATTTAATACGAGTTGAAACTTTAATTTTTTTGCTGAAAATGTGTTTTGCTCATATAAACACCCTTTTACTTAAAAGTATATTATAAAAGTGTAAATTATATATTAGTGTAAAGTATTAAATATATTTTTATTTTAAAGTAGAGTCTTTAATATTAATTAAAATTTTCTGATAATGTTGTAAAATGTGTGCAACCTGTATTAACCCTCTGAGTGAGACAGGATTTTAGATCTGTCATGAACATCATTATTTAAACAGCATTTCTTAGGTAAATTTGTATAATTGCTTGTTTCATCTCTATTTTCATAAAATTACATTCATTGATTTAATATTTACATTAACCTTTAAGAGACGGAGCAGTTTGAAAAGGTTTCACTTAAAAATCCAAATGCCTTTCCACCCTCCCTTTTAGCTGTCATTGTAAAGGGAAACTACTACTCTTTTGCAACTTTTCCTGTAGGTCACCTTTGTTAATTTTCAGTAAGAGACTAGGGAATAATATAAAAGAATTTGTTGAAGTTTTCTCTTTTCTGCTGTTTCTTTTCCTTAAACTAGGGAAACATATTATGCTGAGATTTCGTAGCTAAATAATTGTCGTATGTTGGAATATTAACTTTTGACATTGCGTCATAATGAAAATACGTCTTAGCAGCAAATGCACGCCTGTAATCAGTTCATAGTTTATTCAGTTTTTATTTGTTTCCAATCTGAATTTAGTTTAGAATTACATGTAATAATTCACATTTTTAATTTATATTCGAAAATGATGTTTAACTATTTGTTTCTCGTATAAATCGTCAGTTCGCCTTTATTTGTTTCGAAGCATTCGTTCATTTGTTTCCAAGCATTTGTTCGCTTTTATTTGTTTCCAAGCATAGTTTATTGAGTTTTTATTTGTTTACAAGCAATAAAAAGGGGAATATAAAGAAAAAATACATTTTTAATGACCCTGAAAAGTTGGTGAAATTAATACTAATGTAAAATTGCTAAGATTTCACTGCTGAGGGAAACGAAAGGGAATTTGCGAATCTCCACAGTTGGGAGGCAAGAAGGTCATCTCGCATAAGTGGCAAGGGAGATAAGGACAATGACTATCTCCGCACCCTGAAGGATAGGGGGAGGGGAATTCGCTGACCAATATTTCGACTACAGCCGTCTTTTTGAGACACTGCAGCTCTGGCTGATTCTTAGGCCACCCGTCTTTTGAAGGTTAAAGAAAGTAAGAAAGCAAAATATCTTAAATTATAAGCTAATATGTGCCAAGTGACAAAAAATCTCATGACCGAATAAAGCTGGTCATGCTGCTCAGAAGGTTAACAAAACTCATTTAAGCATTATTGGTATATTTCCTATGACATTAAGATCAATGTACGTCTGTATATTTATCAAACTGTCATTATGAAAATGCATCAAGATACTTTTAATAAAATAATTTATATATTCATGCCACCTAAAAAATTCTAGGTGATTTAGAACATAATCGAGTAGTAAAACCTGACAAGCATATAAAGTTTGCTCTTGACAATGGAATGTCTTCCCATACAGTGTGTGCTAAAACAGGAGAATCTGTTAAGTATAATAGTTTTTATGCCATTACTTTTTATTAAATTTTTTAAAAAATGTGATATTTTATGTAAATTTAAATTTTATACAGATTCTTGAAAAGCATGAGCGTATAAGCAAAATTTTATTTGTTATTTTGAAACATAAGACATGAACTTATATATAAGAGTACATCGTGTAAATTATATTTTCCAGGAATATAAATTTTATGAACATAATATTTTTTCAAAATAATCAGTTTGTGAATTGTTCAGCAAATTATTCTTTTTTTATTTATTTGCATTGAAAATGATTTATTTCTTATTTCTGTTTATATCATGTTTTTTTAAATGTTTGCACGAAATACATTAATCATGATTTTGCCCAGTAAGAATTATATATTTATTTACCACCCCTTGCTTTAGCTTTTAGTAATATCAATCTCAGAAACAAAATATGACACATATAAGAATAAAAAAATATTATGCATATTATGCTCTCAAAGTGTGTTGTTTGGAATCTTTGCTTTCTCAAGAACTTAATTGGTTTCTTTTACTGAGAGGGTTTTTTCTCATGATCATTGGCATAGCATTAAAATAAGGTTTCAGATATTAATGGTCACCTGAAAGGGCTTATTAAGGTTTTTCATGCTTTCGCTGAGCTCACAGTCTACCATTCTTCTGTTATACTCACTCCTACTAACACTTTTTTTTTTTTTTGGTCTTTTTAGCTTTTATATTAAACAAATTTTCTTCACACTTGTAATATATACAATTCAACAGTAAAATTACAAAAGTTTTAAAAGCAATATATGTTTAGAATTCCCAATGCAGCATTAAGTGTTGGCATACTTTATTTTTTATTTATTTATTTTTTTTAATCTAGGCATTTCTTCATATCATTTTTCAGTTTTCTTACTAAGATGGTTTTACAAACTTTTTTTTGTCTTTTTATTGTTAGCATATTGTGTTTACTTTGTTTATAAAACAAATGAGAAATTCAAAATTCGGGCTTCCGCCCATGTTCAGGTGGAAGACTATGTTATTCAAAATTTGACTACTCTAGGTATAATTGTTTTTTTACAATGCAAGGAAATGCATACATTTATGCAGATTCTTCATTATTTAATTTCTTTATGTATAATACAGGGCAATAATATTTCGTGGCAACAATTTGAAAAATGATATGTCATTTATGGTGATTCAGTGCGAAATGCTATTTTGAGATTAATAACCCATTTGGGACAATTGTTCCTTTTGGGTTAATATAATAACTAATAAAACAGTAATTAGAAAAATATTTTTAAAAAGTTTGAAAGCTTTCATATTTTATATAACGCTCAAAGGGGGCATTTTTTTTTCATTTACACACACATATATGTTTTGAGAGTATTTAGGAAAATGTCCCCTTAGGCTAAAAATATTAAAAAACAGCATATATTTAGAATTTCCAATAGACAGTCTCGTGCGCTGGAGCTGAAAATGTTTCTTTCCGTACAGCGTTGCTATTGCTCATTTTGTAATCATTGCGTTTTTTAAACCAAAAATTTGTTAAAGTTTTACAAAATATGAAATAGATAATAAAACATAATCGAAATTCAAAATTTGGGCTTCCGGGTGCCCATATTCAGATGGAGAACTAGGTTATTCAAAATTTGATGTCTCTAGGTACCGTTGCTTTTTCACAGTGCAAGAAACATTCATGCAGATTCTTCATTATTTAATTTCTTTAAATATAATACAAGGTGATAATATTTGGTGGCAACAATTTGAAATCAAAAGTGATGCAATGCTTTTAGTGAAATGCCGTTTTGAGACTAATAGCCCTTCAGAGTTATCGCCCCTTTTGGCTTTAAAAAAAAAAAAATCCCCACTATCAGAAAAATCTTGTCATCATTCCATCATAAAAAAATATTCTACTATTAATAACTCTGTCGTGTTAATGGGCATGTAATCCCAGTTTTACTCGTGTTGTTTGAAAATTGCCGATATAGCTTCTTTAGCTGGTGAACTTTATTTCCTTGAAGCTTTTCACATTCACAAAAATATATCTTCTTTATTCAATGACATTAATTCCAGTCCAGTTCATTACAGTGCTTTCAAAATTTTGGTAGCTTAATCTTCCACATTTTATTGCTGTTTTCCTTGACAGATGATACTGTGTTCATTTTCACTTAGTCACATCCATTGCTTTTGATATATTGCAGAATGGTTGTGCTCCTCCAATTTTTGTCTCCTGAAGAGAGATCTTTAAAAGTGATAGTTTCATTCAAAATGTATGTCAAACCAAGATTGTCTAGTTTAAAATTTTACATTGATGTATGTCTCTTTCAGTTAGGTTTTGAATTTTATGTTCCTTCCGCCTTTACTTTTTTTATATATCTTCTCTGTAAGTTTCTGAATTGTTATTCAGTAAGTTCCTTCTTTTCTGTTTGTTTATTTTTGTGCCTAACCATCTTTACACTAATAGTTATATATTTTAAGCTTTTGTTAAATCACATTAAACAACAGGGTTTTTTTTTTTTTTTTTTTTTTTTTTTTTTTTTTTTTATGTTGTTGTTGTTGACTACAAATGAAAGGAAATTAAATCCTTGACTTAATTTGTGAAACCTTTTTTTAAGCATCAGATCTTATAAATAGTTTTTGATTTGATTGTTGTTGTTAGAAATACTTGCTATTATGTAAAATGATTATGGATCCATCATTTTAATTACTGTATATACTGAATTTCACCACTCTTGAGGGAAAAAAAAAAAAAAAAAGTGTTTATAAAATATTCAGTCTTCGAAATTCTGAAACACTTTTTCAGATTACCTTATTTTATTCACTCTAGAAATCTTAGCAGAATTAGCTTAATTTATTTCATATCTTACCCTTTTCTAACAGAGATATTTATTTTATGCAGTTCTAAAATTACAGTTTGAATAAAAATAAATAAATAAATAAATAAAAACATTTAAATCCAGCAAAATTTCTGAAATAATAATAATAGAAAAAAACTGATCCCATTTATTGTATTATGAAATGTTAAGAACATTTCATAATACAATAAATGGGATCAGTTAAGAACAGTTAAATGGGATCAGTTATGAAATGTTAAGAACATTTCATTTACAAGCATTCTCACCTATGGATATTGTTATTGTTTTCAAGTTCACATATTTATCCATCAGTATGATTTAATTTTTCTTTTATGTATTGAATGTTAGTGAATGTAGTTCTTGTAATGGATCAGGTAAGATGCTGTGTTGAGACCCTCCACAAAAAGGCAACCGAAAAATTACTACTATACATTTTTAATAGCATAAAAATGTGATGGAAGGCAAAAAGAAAATCTGTTTCTTAAAGACAAACAGGAACTGCATTATTTATTCCAGATATTGAAGATATTTTATAGTCAGGGATGGTTGAAAATGTTTCAGATTAAAATAAGATATAAAAAACTGTAGCAGGCTTAGCAGTCTTTAAATTTTCTTTTTAGCTTCATTGCTTTTTATATAGCAGCTTTTACTTAATTAATGAGTATTAATTGAATAATTTTATTCAATTAATACTCATGGCTAAAGAAAACTAAAAGAAAGCATAAATTTTATCAATTTATAACTATGAATGTATTGTTCCCTCTATCATATTCTGAAAACTTGCAATCTGATTCTTCAGTTACAGAATATTTAAACTTGCGTTATTGCTGCATGAAAACAGATTAAGAAGAAATGTAGCTTATTTTTTTTATTTGGTAATGACAATGAAAAATAAACTTCTATAACTAATGAAGTATAAAATAATTAAGAATCTAAAAGATAAGAATAATGATTCTGTGAACTCAGGTTTACTGAAATAAATGAAAGAAGGAAAACATACAACTATTTTAGTTTCCTTCCTAGACAAAAGTAATATTTATTGGTTTCTTCTAATAAAAGTCTAATTTACAGGACAGCTAGAAGTATTTGGAAAAGTAACCATGCAGTTGAATAATAATAACTGAAGTTCAATGTATTTTTAGCAGAAATAAACAAAAAATGTATTAAACCCCTATCACAGTATGTTTCCACTTACGGAACTGTATGTCGAAAGGGACAGTTCTCAGAAGGAACCAGGAAACCCACGTAGTTAGGTTATCATTTTCACTTACTATAAAGACTTGAATGTGAAACAGTAATCGATTATCATTCAGATTGGGATCACATGATCCTCCCAAAGCAGATCAAAAGATCCTCCCAAAGACAAAAGCAGATCTTTTGTCTGATTGGTTGTTCTGTACGTGTGATAGAGCTGCGGCCGAAACATTTTCGGCGGCGTTTAAAAAAATCCCGCATAGCTGGTACATTTTTTCTGTAGCTAGGCGAGACTTTCCTTCCAGTGGGGCTCTTTTTTATAGGAATTCTCCCGTTTAAACCAGTGCTACCAGAATCTCGTTTCTCAGAAAAGAACCATCTATCAGGGACCATCGCTAGATGTGATAAGGGTTTTACTGACTGCAGTTTCATTTAGAGCTCATCCAGCTAGTGCTATTATTGGTGATAAACATATCAGAATGTGTCTTAATTATATCAGAATTTGTAGTGCTTTGTTGGGAAAAAGATTAGAAAAGTGGAATTAGGTTTCCTAACAGGTTTTTCCCTATCTCTAACTGAAATGTAGTTGAATTAGCATCATTAAAGTGATTGCTGTATAGAAAAATTTCAGAAGCTTCTAAAACGGGTTTCTCAGCCTGAGGCGAATGTTGTAGTTCCTTTTATTTACCCTCACGTTTTACTATTTATAAATATTTTCTTGTTTAATTCATAAAACAGATTAAAACAATCCAAATTGAAATAAATATATGTGTAATTTTTGAGTTTTGGAAAGGAAGGGAGGGAGATCATCTAGCAATGGTAAAAGAAGTAAGGGTCAAAATCAAACAAGGTTCAAGGGGCAAAAAAAGAATGAGAACCACTGTTCTAAGAATCTAAATTGAGGGGTGAATTAGTGTAAGCAATAATTTTGGTCTCCAAAAAATGGAAATCTACTGAAAATTTCACTTATTTCTATTAGCACACTGTAAGTGCTTGCTTATCCTAAATTTTAAAAGATCTGTGGGTTTGTATTATATATGTAAAACCCCATTTAGATTTAAAGCTAGTCATCAATAAAAATCAAGTTATCGGTTGCTAAATTTTAAGAATCTGCAGTTTTTCCTTCTTATACAAGACTACATTCACAGAAATTTTATAAATGCCTATGAACGAAAGTCCAATATGCCCTTTTCAACTGAGAATATGATTTTATTGACAGTTTAAATTATCTGTTGCCTTACAACTTAATCTCTCATTGCTTTTTCTGCCATTTTATTGTGCAAACTATGATTAATGATAATGTATTAAAAATGTGTTCATATAATTCATCACTTGACACAATTCTCATTTTTTTAACAGGTTGCTTTGTGCTTTCAGAAGATTGCAGGAGAGTTGCTTGGTATTAGGCTGACACGATCTGAACAAGAAACCGTCCAACCTGTTGTTAAAGCTGAAATTGTGCAGAGCTTACCAACAACTTCTGAAGCAAATACTGCTGCTCCTCCATCCAATGCAGCCAAGAACAGTAGTGTTTGCACTCTTCAGTAGCACTTAACTAAACATGTGATGTTTGCATTTAGTAATTTTATTTATTTTGCACTTTTTGCTAAAAATATGTCCTTGTAATTATACTTGTTTTTTGCTACATATTTTATTAAAATACACTGCCTTAATTCTAGTCACAAGATAAAATATATTTTTATTTACTAATTAAATATTTATACATAGTTGGCATTGTTCCATGGAAGTTGTAAATGCTTCAATAAAAACTTCATGATCATTTGCTTATATTATTTTTATTTATTTAGAAGTAAAAAGTATTTTTTTGGAAGAAGAATGTATGATTTCAAATACATATCTGTGTCCTTGATAACTAAAATATTTTTCAGTTATGCCCTCGTCAACTTTTAAAGAGTTCCCACTGTTCATTGAACACATAAAAATTAAATTTTAAAACTTATGAACAAAACAGAGGAATAATAATGCTATTTATATGAATTTGTATTTTTGATATGCTGATTAATTAACATTGGTAAAATAATTAAAATATAATTACTGAATAATTTAATAATGTGCAAACTATGATTAATGATTGTTATGAAAATTCATTTTTCAGCTCTAGTACAATTCCATGTTCATTTAAATTAATTTAATAGCTTGTTTAAAATATATACTCTATAGATCTGCAAATTAATAGAAATTAAAAAGTTCTGTACTGGGTACATAATATATCATGCTAAAAACACCATTTATTAATTAAAGTAATTCTGCAAATGTTTGGAAACAACTGGATATATTATAATGTTTTTAAGATTATGTCAGTTAGCATTAAAGAAAAATTTAGCCAAAGGTGACCATCAAGATGATCGGTCACTGGTACCAATGAGTTGACAGTGAATAATGTGAGGTATCATAGTAAACATAGCTTATTAAAATAAACTGTAGGATACCAGTTAGTTATCTGTAGTTAATTATAACTGGTGAGTGGCACAATAAAAGTAAAAATAAACCAAAGACCATGGAGATCTCCAAGGTTATTGGTTACCAGTGACTTGAGTTTGTAACTACCATTACAGTATGATGAAGTAAATTAAAAATAAATGTATTTATTATTTTATAAAGTTAATTCTGAGTTTGTTAAATAACTGGGTGACTGAATTTAAGAAATAAAGCAAAATGCTTTGTAAAACTGGAAAGTTCTGATAACTGGTTATTTGAAAGTCTGTGTGAAAAATAAGTTCTCATGTTTTATACAGTGGCATTACTTGGGAAACCACATAAATGGTAAATGCATTGTAGCATAGTATAATATAGTGTAAAAGTCAAACTTTTAAAAAAATTCTGTTTAAAAGTGTTTCTTATGTCAAAATTAAACTGACTGATATCAGTGACCTTAGAGTTTGATTATCACTGGTATGGGATAGCAGAATAAAATTAGATTATTAAAACAAAAATAAAATACACTGATATCCATCAGTACAGTTTTACATATGTCCATATGTAATGCAAATTGGCAGTCTCCAACAAGAAACAGTACAGTTTGTTAGATCATTAAAATGAACTAAAGAACACCGGTGACTGTCAAGGTCATTGGTGAGCAGAGGTAAGTAGTGTTTCATGCTGTGATAATACTTGTCAGGAGACAGTGGGTAATAAATATATAGCAACATGATTGATAATCAGAGCATAATGTTATGCTTTATGATTTAAAATTTGTCAAAAGATTCTGCTAAGAATATTTCTAATGTCAAAAATGATATCATTACCTCTGAAAAATTATGGAAACAAATCTTTATAGAAAATTGTAATGAAATAAAATTATTGGTAAATAATATGAAATTCAAAGCACATTTTCATGCTTGTTACATAGCACAGTCAAACCTGGCTTTAAAGACTGCCAAAAGATTGCTAAACAGTGTTATAAATTGAGGAATTCTGTTATTATTCTACATATACTAAAATGCTAAAATTTGTGAGTAATTTTATCTATGTTAGGGATACATGGGATCAGATGCATAATATATAATGCAGAAATATCTTGTAATGCATAAACTCTAACACATGTTCAAGGGATTTATTCAAAGATCTTTCGTAGTATTACCCTACGTATAAATAGACATCAAAACTGAAGTTACTTACACAAATTCCTGCTATCAATGCAGCATGCTATATTTTTTTAAGAAAATGAATGAAAAAAGTCAAATTCAGTGGTATGCCAACAATTACATTTGGTAGAACTAGGTTAGTAACTCTAAATAATAAAATTTTTTTGATAATTTTAGCCTAATGCCCCCAAATATTCACTTTGTTTTAGAAACACAAATTGTTTGATTTATTTCACACTTTTTATAAATTTACTTTCTGTACAGTATTTTAGATCATGTTCATAAAAGTGTTCTTGTGATACATAAAAAGTTTCATGAATTATATAGCCATAATACTTTTCAGAGATGTGCTGTAGTTTCTACAAAAAGGCTTCTGACCGAGATATGAAGAAAAATGCTTTTTTAACACGTTGAGTGCCACGTGCATTTTATGTGGTTTGCCCATGGCGCCAACATGATTTTTTTATTATTCAATGCATACTATGTTGAAATATTATCTACAGAAGATAAGATAAGTTATGTAATCGTATTTAATGCATTTTTTTCCTGGTGGGTCACCACTCATCCCCGAGGGGCTGCAGACAATTTTTGCGATTTATTATTTAAATTTTTGCAATCTATTGCTCTTCAAAACATTATAGTAACAATGATTATTATTTACAAATTTATCTGTATCTATATTTACTCTAATTATATATTTTTACTGTTGGTCGCGTCACCGGTGGACTGGCACTGTAGCCAAGTCGAGTGCCGACCACTGGTGACCCCCCATGGCAATCAACGTGTTAATGCAGGCTTATAATTACAGTATTGCATGATGTGTTTTGGTAAATTTTTGGAAACCAGAACGAAGGAGACGGTTATAGTGATCATGTTATAATAAATTAAATGATATTTTAGGAATTTACAATACATGAATAAATAATAATAAAATATGTCTCAAAAAGAATATAATGCTAGCAAAACTGATTATTTTTATGTTTGCATATAATTAATCCATATTGGATTGATAAGGGCCAACAGGCAGCTGATTTTCAGAGAGCATTAGCCAAGTTCTCATAAACAACTAATTAAAGACATATTTTGATTGAATTGTCAATATATTAAATTTATAAGTGGTACCAACACACTGATTACATAGGGTGATAAAAATGCTAGAGTTGAGCCTGCATAGATATAATGTTAAATTTTTGGAGGTAAATTAAAATATCTGGGATAGATCAAGATTCTGAGCTTGTTTCTCTTGAAAAGACGAACATTCCGAAGGATGGCATAGGCAAATGAGACCAATGTATTGTTCATGCTTATCATGAACGTATTGTATATAAGAATATCCAGCATTATACACAATATGTTCATGATATATTTTTCCATCTTCCTCAATTCTTGCGATAAGATAACTAACTTGTAACATCACCTATAGGAAATGGCACAGCTAGAGGGGGGGTAGAGACTGCAGCATTTTTCATAGGAGACATTATTTTATAAGGGTTAGTCATATAGATTTCTGAGAGGTGGAAATAATAATGAGATTTTACTTGAGGTAAATTGTTCAGATAAATTAGCATGAGATTTCAACAGCTCAAATTATCAACATACTTTCAGTACAAGAATGCATTAAGCTGCAAGTTAAAACAACTTTCAATAACAAAAAAAAAAAAAAAAAAAAAAATAACCATAATTCCATACAAAAACAGCACACCCATGGAAACTTAAATTTAGTTTTTGGTGCTTCAGTTCTTTCTGCAACATCTAATAGCAGAACAAACCACTATATCACTTTAAATAGAAGACCATAGCATCCCAGTGTAAGGGACGCAGACAGGATTAATGATAACCTATACAACTGCTTCGCTCATCTGAATAGGGGTATGATGTCCACTCCATTTAATTCTTACATCCATGGTGTAGTCCTCTACATAGTTTATATCAAAATTACTATACTAACATATTTTAAGTCAGACTTGTTTTTTTATATCACAAGAACACTTTCAAACTAAAACCTGGAACTAGAAACAATATGAAAATTAAAATTTCTTATACCTAATGCCATTAATTAACAGCATTCCTAGAATGGTTAGCATAGATGACATAGACAACTGCTGATATTTGTAAAGCACTGGGTAAGTTATTCTCACATGGGATAACTAAATAAACTACTAACATGTTTAAGTTACACAGGGTGCCAACCATACCTATTGTCTAGAATGCAAAAAAAAGATTGATGATTGTAAAAACATAACAATTAGTTGGTCTACTACCAATGCAATCATTGAATTTATCCAAACTGCATGAAAATTCAAATATAGTTAAAAAATCTGTATTTTTGGAAGAGGTTTAAAATGATATTCCATTCCATAAATGTTGTTTTAAAATGCCAGGTCCATATTCTGTTTTAAAATGCTATTACCAAAAAAGGGTAGGGAATTAGCCTAGTTCTATTAGGCCTGTAACAGCATGCTGTTGCTTAATTTAGACCATAGCTGATGTGAATAACTTGCAAGAAATCATTATGGAAAAAGTAGATAAACATATTAAGCAGCTATCAGCATTACAATGCTATGTTTAATCCACCATATTATTTACAAAAGAAACTAGAAAATATGTCAAAAAATAAAGTTTCAGATGTTTTCAACTGAATGTAAATGTATATAAAAACAATTTTGAAATTTAATGTTTCTATACAGCAAGGTGTATTAAAAGTGTTATATATATTTTTTTAAAAATTACTCAGTTATTTTATTGAGCATATAAATATTCCTTACTTGCCTTAGTGGAGGAAACTGGTTATTCTTCATTATTGTTTTAAAATAATCATTCTTCTTATACATCTTACTGAATTTGCAATAAAATTATTATGCACTTTCTTATGAAATCTCCATGGCATTTCTATTTCACTTTCAATTAAAATAAAGTGAGAGTGACAATTTCAAGATAATAATCAAGAGTGAATCATTTTGTAATTTATACAAGTAAAAAACATTTATATATTCAGTACTTTAGTATGTATTTTTTAATTATTTAGTACATTTTGCAATATAAAAGTGCTTAATTTTAGGAATTTTTCTTCTGTTTTACTCTTAATATTTCAAAGTTTTTAAAATCCTAATTCTACTCTTTTGTTCCTGACACACTGTAAAAATACATATTTCAAGATGGCAGACATAAGATGGTTGC